CGTGCGCAAAGGCCGACAAGCGTAGGGCGAGGACCCGTCCATCGCCGCTTGTGGCTTTAATTGTATTATTGTTATTACAGTGTATGTTCAGTGGTGCTGTAACAATGTAGATTTCCCAATAAAGGATTATCTCATCTTGTCTTATCTGATGCATACTAAACGTGTAAATACATCGCCTCAGTTGATTGTATTTTAGCGCAGAATGTATTCAAATCAAATAAAGTTCATTATCCTTTTGCTGCACATACAACAGCAGCACAAACAAGATGAGAGGATCCAAAAACTAAAAGCAATTAAATAAAGAAGTGTTTGCATATCTGGATCAGCAGTTCAGCATTCTGACAGCTGTTGGCATGAAGCTGTTGATCAGTCTGGAGGTTCTTCCTTCAACGCTCCAGAAATGTTTGGCTGATGGCAGCAGTTCAAACAGTTGATGGAGAGGCTGTGAGGATGTATGAGGAGTCCATTGGTTCATGGACTGGTGGAGCTTTGAACACACGAAACATTGGCAGAATATTGACTCTGGTGTTTGTATTGTGAGCAGGCCAGAGGGCTGCACGATGAAACCAGACTGACATATCCAGGCTTTCTTTGTGTAGCCGGCTCGACAAGAACCAAAGCTCCAGCAGAGATCACAGGCATCACGTAGAAGGTTCAACTTTCTTCATCAACTCAGACTTCCTGCGTCAGAGTCTGTTCTCATTAACGCGTCACATGACTCTTCTTCTGCACTAAATGAACCGATCACGTGCAGCTGCTTCAGTCAGCACCTTGTTTTAATGGAGAACAATGAGGAATAAATTTTTTAAATGTGACGGTAAAAAGCGCCGCTACTGTAAACAGTGAAGACGGGAACGCTGCTAGAAAACTGTTCAACGTGTTCATATATTTATTTTACTGATCAATGCAGCTGATTATTTCTAACTGACATTAAACCTGTTAAACTTTAAACTTCATACATTTAAACATGGTCTTGTATTGAAGTACATTTAGGTCTGACTCTGTCCCATAATGCAGGAAATCACTTTAACTTTTGGCCCAATCAGAGCAAAATTAATGTTATTGATTGAATATTCTCTGTAATAAATACCAGCAGAATGATCCATGTTCTGATCCGTTCTATCAGCTGCAGCAGCAGCAGAGTAAACGGTCCTGACAGCAGATCAGAACCAAACATAAAAACACATTTATGTGATTTCTGCATCAGCAACTAAATACACGTCTGGTTCCCATGGCAACGTGATACTTACAGTGTGTGATGCTGTAACTCCACGGCTTCATTCAGTGATATTAGTAACACACATCTCAGCATGTTAGCAGATAAACACATTCCCTCAGCTGAGAGTCTGGATCGCTCATAAATAATAGTCAGGAAACGATTTGGTTAAAGAGAGACGCTCGGTCAGCTGACTTAAATCTGAAACTCTGAACATAACCTGCTCCTGACCAGGTTAGCTCCACAGCATCCGTTACCATGGAGACCTAGCTCCACATCATCCGTTACTGTGGAGCTCTAGCTCCACAGCATCCGTTGCCATGGAGACCTAGCTCCACAGCATCAGTTACCATGGAGACCTAGCTCTACAGCATCAGTTACCATGGAGACCTAGCTCCACAGCATCAGTTACCATGGAGATCTAGCAGGTTTAAAAAGAATCACCTTCCTGACACTGAAAATCCTGACTTTGGGCTTAACATAGCTGATAACCCACTACAATACAGTAGATCAAACTCATACACCAATGGCGACAGTGCTGCCATGCAAGGTGCTGCCTGCCATCAGGAGCAACTTCATGTTCAGTGTCTTGCCCATGGACACTGTGACTGTGGAGGGGATCGAACTGTCAACCTTGCGATCGGAGGACAACCGGCTCTACCAGCTGAGCCACAGCCGTTCCACTGATCTGGCTTCGTAGTGCAGCCCTCTGATGAACAACGTCCTGGTGGAGTCAGCGCTGTCCGTAGTGCTGAAGCAGCAGATGCATCTGGAGCTGCGCCTTCTTCTCTCAGAGGAAATGTCAGTTACATCTAGAATATTCTCTGAACCGTGAACTAGAAATACTCTCGTCTGCGCTGCAATGGCATATAAAGGTCCGTCTGGTCACATTTGATCAAAATCCCAGCGACAGTGAATAACGAAGTGTGTAGAAAATGAACTGATCTCTAAAAGGCATCAAGATAAAGACGAAACATTCTTTTCAACATTTTAATCACTGTAATGATTTTTTTTTTGCTTTGTGCAATATCAAAGTGAGTAAAGGAAAGAAGCACCATGCAAAGGTACCCAAGACGTTTGAACTCTCAGATAAAGTTGAAATCTGGAAGAAAAACCTTGAAAACTCTTGTTTAAGTGCAAAAATCTTCAGGAGGATTCATCAGATTGGTGCTGCTCTCTTCTGCTGGACAGAATAACCTCAGGAGTCATCAGAAGACTTTCCTTCATCCTCTCAACTAAGCTCAGGATCATCTCAACAAGCTGGATGCATCTGGGAAACAATGAATGCGAACAGTGCAGCATTCACAAGTACAAGAAGATGGATCCAATTAAATAGCACCAAATTCTGAAGCATTTCTGGATTCCTCCCACAAGGTCCAGAAACATGCTGAGGTTAATTGGTGATTGTAAATTGTCCGTAGGTGTGAATGTGAGTGTGCTTGGTTGTCTGTCTCTAAGTGTAGCCCTGTGATGGACTGGTTACCTGTCCAGGTGAACCTGCCTTCACCCTGAGTCAGCTGGGATAGGCTCCAGCCCCCCATGACCCTAGTGAGGATTAAGGTGTAGAGATGATGGATGGATGGATGGATGGACAGACATGCTGTCAAGGTCTCCAGGAGGCCTACAGCTGTTCTGTCAGTTGTATTTCCAGGTTTCCAACATACTGATGACACAGAATACAAAATATTCAGCAGACACCAAGTTTAATAGAAAAAAACTTTTATTTTCCCCTATTCACAAAAATTAAATAAAAAGGGATACATCAGATTACATCCCACCTGCACCACAGTTCAGCAAACAAAAGGTACTACATTAAAGTCAACTGCCAGCCTTGATATCAGATTGAAACAAAGTTCTGAATGAGTTTAAAGGTATCACCAAGCACCGACTCGCCCTCAGTCCAACCACATCAAATCTGACACAATCAGATGGTCCGCTATAAAACAACGAAAACAAATAGTTCTTTAAATAAAAAGAATAAAAAAGGGAAAAAAAACTTGTAAAGTCCAAAAAAAAATTTGTGCACTACAGCACAAAAAATAAAATATAAAACAAATAAATAAAAACAAAACTGTTACATGAGCATTAAAACAAAAATCGTATTTTATTTGTTTTTAAAAAGAAACAAAAAACCTAAAAACGGACACCTTGCATTTAGACTTCCTTGTTTCCAGCTTGTTTCTCCAAAACGGCAAGGAGTGGTGGAGCCTCAGCATTTCTACCAATTCCTTGTGGCACAGAAGCTCCATCCTTCTAGAACATCTTCGTATCGAAGGCTTCACTAGTTGCTGCATCAAACATCAGTCCAGCTGTGATCGCTGTCTTCACGCTTCCTGACCAGCCAACCTGCACCAGATGCGCTCACACTGCAGGACTGTGGCTCATAAAAATGGTTCAAGATCCAAAACACGATCACATCAGTCAGCAACTAACACAAGTCATGTCCCATTTGTTGATTTAAAAAAAAAAAAAAAAAACCCAAAAAGAAGTATTAAGGGGAGACACTACAGGCAAAATGTTGGTGGAGAGAAAACATCCAAAATACACATCTACACGTATATTTTAGCACGTTTCCTGTATTTGCACCTGTAGATTTCTATCACAAATCATATATTTAAGGCATTTTCTCTGAATTCTGCCTGCACTTCAGAGCACCGACACACAAACGTCCCTGTTTTATTCCATCGATACACTGAAGCTTTCTACTGTGGGCTTCGTTAGGTCAACAAAATGAAACAAGGCCTGTGAACCTGATCTAATCCACCGGCACCGTTTCTGGAAATGTAAACCATAACATTTCACAGAGCCTAACCATGCCATCGTGACTCCCCACCAGGGAACGCTTCATGGTGACATCAGGTAAACCTTGATCCCCTGTAGTGTCTCCGCTTAAAGCTTGTTCTATCAAACACGTGATCTGCAGATACAAACGGGTATTAATGCTTCTGTAGCCAGGCAGGATCAGATCAGAGTGTTTTCCATCAGTCTTGATCTTACGAGCTTCGTACATCCTGACAAACTGCTACCTGACGGCAGATGCTGATACTCTGAGGCCACATCAACAGGCACGACTCAGACTACACTCCCAGAAGACTTCAGACTAGGGCCGGTGCCAAACGATGTCTAACAAGTACTTGTGGACACACCTTTATAGTAAAACACCAGCAGGCACACAGCCAGACACACCTCCATCACAAGCGTCCACTATGGACAAGGACTAAAAGATAAAGCCGAATAGAGACCCCCACTCCTTCAGACGCTAACCAGTGTCGGGGGACAACTATCAGGACTCAGGGTTTTCCCAGCATTTCCTACACAGTATCGACGGGTGTATATATGGCAACAACAATCACTAGTTTGATCAGAAGCTGGAGAAGTACCTTATTAGTCCAGCAGCGAGTCGACAAAGCTCTTATAAGGTGGACCCTACAAAGAGATCCGTTATAAAAACGTCTAACAGAAAAAAACAGCAAGACCTGTCAAGAAGCATGCAGTGTTCACGATGGTTCTGAACATGAAGCGCTGATGGACAGACATGGAGCGACAGGCGCAGTGGGACATGGATCCAGAATACTGTCAGAACGCCTCCCTCTTCTTAAATCCTATTCAGTCCATTTTAGAAGGAGCTACATTATAAAACTATGATTAAGAGGCCTCAAGTCTTACCAAGTCATTTTACCATTGCTTAACAATATCATTACGCTTAATGTAGCAAGCCATTAACAGTCCTAAAATCACTTATCAAAAACCTATGTCTCAAGTTCAGTACATCGTTACTGTACGCCTTACATTAGAAATTCTACATTTCTTACAAAAAGAAAAAGTGCATTTATACCGGTAAGAACCAATTCATTCTTGGTGATGTCTTATCGCTCTCGTTACGTTTGTGTAAATAATCTAAAAGAAAGAAGCAGCAAATATGATTCTCGGCCTGCCTCCAGTGTGTGAACTCCAAACAGTCACACGGGAGCCGATTCCTGCGTCGACGTGCCTGCAGGCGGGCTTTCACACACTGCCTCCAGGAAGCTACACGGCCATCGACGAGACGACATGCATGAGTGGCAAGACGAAAGAACCGAGCACCTGACGGCTTCAGACTATGGCAGCCTCCCCCGCTGACCATGAAGACAGCAGACATCCACTCAGACATGCGTCACTTCGAGGCGATCAGAGGCCATGCGATGTGTTGGTGCTGCGGTGGTAGAAAGGAAAGATGTACTGCATCTTTTTTATTGTCCTCTGATGAGGGAAAGAAACCTACAACTCGAGAGGAATTCAGCAACTAAGGGATGAGGAAGGAAATTAAATTCAGCTAAATGTACATATGAAAAAAGACCCATGTATATGCACATCGAATGGTTTATGCAGTAAAAGGTGCAAAGTACTTTGTGCACGTGTTACATAGTCAAAGCGTCTGTTTATGTCTAGCCTCTGGCACAAGCCTGTTACACGACTACGGAGTCGTTCTACGGACTACGTGGTGTTGGGACTGTGGCACCCTATGCTGGTTCAGATAATTCCTTTTTATGTACCTATCTGCCACCCCCCTCCCCTCCCAGCCGTCATCTATCAACAGAATAATCAAATCGAGGAGGGGGAGGTCAAACTCGGTCCCTATTTGCCCTCGCCTACCTAGGATCCCTGCGGTGCTGTTGGCCAGAGTCACTTTTGAGTGTGTTGGATTTAGTGAGGCGTTTAATCCGAGAGGTATATGTATATCCCCAGTGTACCCTCCCCCCACCCTCCCTCACAGAGACACACAGGGCGCAGGGGAAAGGAGGCCGTCCGCAGAGTGGAGGGTCAAGGCCAGTCACATCCCTCCAGCTCTAGTTTCTCCCCACCATCTGGGCAGTGCAATGAGTTCCCCAGTTACCCTCCCCTTCATAACCTGCCGACAAACAGAGGGGCAGACAGGTAGGTGAACAATCACATCAAAAGGCAATGTGGAGCTGATATGTGGTGAAGAGTGCCATTCTAGATCAGAAAAGTCATTTGGGAACAAAGCGTATCATTGTTTGTCAATGAGCTGGGTGTGTCATCATTTCAAGAAGGGCTCTGGGGGGGCGCTGTGGTACTGGGGGGGGGGACGTACCTAACAGGTCGGCGTCCTGTGTGGACCGAGGAGGGGTCGGGTTAGACACCGTAGCAGGCCGACAGGCGCTCCTTCAGCAGAGGAGGGAACTGCTCAGAGAACTGCTGCCAGTTCTCCTCTCCCACCTGGTCCTTGAAGCCGTGCAGGATCTTGGGAAAGAAAACAAAGCTTTCTGGACTTACTGCTATCTGGGCCGGTGTTGGCGGGGCTGCTGGAGAGTAAACTTTCTCCTAATCCACTTAACTTGTGCACATTTCAACACACTGGACAAATACTGCTGACTCCTGGCTGTCAACCTGTAGGGTTAGGAGCTACTGTCAAGCCACCCGGGGCAGCCTGGGGTCAGTCAGAGCACCAAGGTCAGCTCTGTTTGGTGTGTTTGGGTTCAGATGTCTCTAGAAACAGAAGTGGTGCCTCCAAGCCTGTTAGATGCCAGCTACTGCCCCAAGTGGAGGCTGCTGGATACAGCGAAGCCATTCATCACAATTAAAAGTTGTATTTCAGTTGATATCAATAATTATTGATAATTTGAATTACTTTTTTTTTTAAAATAGACTTTAGGGAAAGAAAAAAAAAGCTTCATCTGAACTGAACTTCCTTTGAGTTGAATCACTTCAATCACTGAGCGTTACAGGTGGCAATGCAAAACACACACATCTCAAAACAAAGAAGGACAGAGCCTTGGTACACGACTTCACTGTGTGTTGTTCTGGGGCTTTGGATCTGATGTAGTTAAGAAAACCCATCAACCCTTCTATCCACTAATGTTCTGACAGCTATCGATGAACTGTCTGCTGCCGGACACAGTGTTAGCGTTATATATATATATACCACTGGTGTCCAATCCTGGTCCTAGAGGGCCACAGTCCTGCATGTTCTAGATGTTTCCCTCTTTCAACAGACCTGATTCACATGATCAGGATCGTTATCAGGCTTCTGCAGAGCTTGATGATGAGCTGATCATCTGAATGTGATCATGTGAATCAGGTGTGTTGGAAGAGGGAAACATCTAGAACATGCAGGACTGTGGCCCTCTAGGACCAGGATTGGACACCCCTGATATATACTACATTATATAGGGTAAGGGTTGTACATATTACATTATATAGGGTTATATACACTATATTATAGAGGGTTGGGGTTATATATGGTACATTATATAGTGCTACTGCTTCATGGCCCAGGCTTCACTGGACACCTGCAGTCAGGGACAACTGGACTGAGTGATCCTAAACCATGCTGTTTTAATGTTAACACTTAGCTAACCTCCTCCTATAGCAAAGCTCTACCACACTTCTCAGACTCAAAGCTCATCCGCACCATGTAATCAGATTTCGAATGTCTGATGAGTGATCATCACAGTGTGCGAGCCAGCGTTTAATTACACTCGTCATCCATCAGGTCAGCACGACGAGGCCCTCACCTTATAAAACATGTCTCTCAGGTCGTCCTTGGGGTTCACCCAGGAGGCCACAGCATCACAGAAGAAAATGAAGTCCTGCACAGAGAACATTTGTTCATCACGTACTGAGGTGGAGTTGTCCCGACTTCTCTAAACCTCTGCAGCTTTAAAGCACATCAGCTCACCTGCACGACTCCTGCAGGGTTGACGCCGATCATGACACAGATTCCGCGGAAAGCCGAGTCCTTCTCCTCATTATCTCTGATATTCCTCAACGATGTACACCTGAAAACATGAATGTGAAAAAAGAGGAGTTGAGCTGATGACTTCAAGACGCCCAAATAACTTCACACGCGGGCCTCACCATGGTCTAATAAAGTGCTGCAGCTGTGGCGCTACTTCCTGGGGACACACGAAACCCAGTCGGCCGATGGTGATGGCTGCACACAGGGACACAAAGAAAAACTGGTCACCTCAAATGTCTAGCATGACCACACACAACTCCCTGGTTCCACGACCACCCGACTGTACAACAGCAGAGGACGGTCCTCATTTGCAACAGCCCAAAACACAATGACACACACACCCCCTCTCTCACACACTGCGCTGCACTCAGGACTCTGCCCTCATGATGACCACGTTGGTTTCCATCATCATGCTGCTCTGCTCGTACTGCAGCTCTAATTGTTCTTGTAGGTCACTTTTCACATCACTAGGCCACTTTAGAGTTGCCACGTGAACTTTAGTTGTACAACTTTTATCTTTATATATATACACACACTTTAATATTTTATCTATTGGATTCTTTTGTGTGGCACTGCCATGTGCTGCTGCAATGCCCGAATTTCCCCTATGGCAATCAATAAAGAATCATCCATCCATCCATCCACCCATCCATCCATCCACCCACCCACCCATCCATCCATCCACCCATCCATCCATCCATCCACCCACCCATCCATCCACCCACCCATCCATCCACCCATCCATCCACTCACCCATCCATCCATCCATCCACCCATCCATCCACCCATCCATCCCGATGGAGCAGGTGTGTGACGATGCATGTACCTGTGTTTTCCAGCAGAGTTTTGGGTGTGTTGGGTCTATTGATGATCTCCACCAGGTGAGGCAACACCATGCCCACGTAAGGCTGCATCTCTGCACCTACAGACACACAGCAGAGGAACACACACCTGAGGACATGTGACAGCTGTGACAGTGTTCAATGTACGCCGCCAGACAGGCACAGAGGCCCGATCAACTCATAAGGAGCTCACCCAAAAAAAAATACTGAAATATCATCAAAAGTATTCAGAAGTGGCTTCACAAAGGCTCCCACCATCCATCGTAGAAATCTAAGATGTCAGGGCCTTGATGAATAAAACTAACTGCTGGCTGTAATATTTTAACATACCCTTTACACTAAGCTGGCTGAAATGTCTACCAGCTGACAGCACTGAAGACTTGCTGGACTGTCTCCCAGCTTTAGACCTTTTACTGACCTGTCACTACAGACAGCAGCAGATACTAAGGCCCAGACAAACATCTGCTTATACAGTCTTTTTGGGAAATTAAACTAGTGATACGCACTTTTTCCCCAGTAGCAACATGAGACGAGTACACTAGCCAGAAAATATATCCAGGATACAGTTAAGTGTATTCAAAAATCCTTGGTGAATGCTGGGACAACGTGATGTGGGACAACACAGGTTTCCTGGGACAGAGTTCATGAACTACTGATTACAGCACAATGTTGTTTTGCTGGTGTCTCTACGCTCACCTGGACAATTGCCTGTTTGCTGCTTGACACCTGTGCCTGTAAGAACATCACACAGAGTGTCACTGGGCTGACTGGAACATGCATGCGGGCTTGCTGGGCATGCACTCACACAAAGACATGCTGACACAGCACACAAGCATACCAAGATTGGTTCTGCTGCCACATCATCACATGGCAGAAGTGTTACGAGGAACAGCAAACTGCAAGGCAACTTTGACCAAACTCCTGACTGTAAGTAATGGCTGCACATGTCCACCAGCCATAGAAACATTGTGCCTGGAGGGAACAGCACCATATGTTCTGCCAAAAGCCGAGGGCCAGAGCTAATGACAGAACCAGGGCAGTCTGCACAGACTTCAGATTTGTCGGGGTCTCATGAGCCTGCACACAAGTAAACCTGCAGACTGAAGATGACTCAACTGTGCCACCTAGAGCCTGGTGCAACATGAGCTCCACGGTATCTGGATCAGAACACATCATGGGAACAAAACGTATCATCGTGTGTCAATGAGCTGGGTGTTTCATCATGTCCAGATACCACAGACCTGTGTTCAGCGAAGGCAGGCATTTGGAAGAAAAGAGACACGTAACCAAAAAAGGCATCTACAACAAGATCTGCTTTCTTACCCATCTGCATGGAGATCTCTCCAATGGCCCAGGTGGCGTTGTTACACACTGAGATAAACTCTGGGTTCAGGTTGAGCCCAAGGATAGGCATGAACTCAGCTGGAGGGAGACATGGACACACTGGTTACAACACAAGCAGTGACATCCAGCCATGCACTTTCTTTACAGTATCTTATCTGTAAAAGCTGCGTGTCACAAAGATCCAAACCATATTGGCCATAGCAAGTATTACAATCAGTAAATACTGGTTGCTCCCTGATAGCAAAAAGGAGTTGCTGTGATGAAGCATACGCACCAATGCAAGGCTTCACGTGCAGGAAGCACGCCTTGGTTAGATCCCCCAGCAGAGCAAAGGAGCTTTGCCTCACCTCAGGCATCGTGTCCTGCAACAGAACCAGACGGCTCAGCGTTACACTCAGGCAGCTTACACACCAGGGGTCACAGGAAACCGTCCTCCTGCACAGTGGATGGCCCTTTGACACCTACAGAAACACTCCAACACACCTGCATGCACTGGAAAAGCAAGGTCATGATGTTAGAGCGAGCCACCAGCTGCTCCACATGGCCTCCCAAACCCTCAGCCAGGCCGCTCAGCAGATCCAGAGCCACGATCATGAAGTCCTTGTCAGGGGCCTCATACTGGTCCGGATGCTGGTTGTACATCTGCACAGACAGAACACGTTGGGCTTCAGTGTGTCCGTGCTAGCTAACAAAAGATCACTCAACATATGCATGTTGTTTCTGTGTTTGCATCCTCACCATGGCCTGAGCCAGCGTCTTCTGGACCAGTGTGACACAGCGCTGATAGACCGGCTCGCAGTAAGGCAGGAAGCCGCTCTGCAGGGCTGTGGCTACCGACGACAGACACTGAAACACAGTCAACGATGGCATAGTTTGGTTTCTGGAGTGTAGACCCAAGAAATTAACATGAAAGCACGTGAAAACTGAAGCTGTGTCAAAGTTTGTGTGAGGAGAGGCTTCTAGTCACGAACAAACGTCGTTTCGGTATCAAAGCGTCCAGAACAAATCTCAACCCAACATGGGCCGTTGTGTCAGGAAGCTCCAGACTATTAAACTGTACAAGAGACTGTTTTCCAAACTTGTGCTTCAAGTATTTCTTAGAAAAACAGAACAGTCACCTCAAGCAGTGGGAAAAGATCCTTGTCTTCGTCCTTCAGCTCGTTCCACTTGGCAATAAGGGGAGGCATCAACTTCTGAATGTACTCCTGCAAAACAATGTAATGGTAAGAGCTCAAGGTTCATACTACGGCTGCCACGAACCATCTGATTAATCGCCGATTAGTTTTTAAAAGTAAGACAATGTCCTCTAACATCTTGTTTTGTTTGCAACTCAAAGGCAGTGAGTTTAATGTTTTAGGAGTAAAGAAACCAGATGATATTTAAACTTTTACTTTTGTCTTGTTAAGAAATAAACCGATTAATCAATCGTCAAAATTGTTAATCATTAATTTAGTAGACGGCAACGGATCAGTAAGTCATTGCTGCTCCAGTTTACATTTTAAACTTTTCCACAAAGATGTGATTTGAGTATTACATACAAAGCAGTGCACACTTTCCTTGCTTATCAATTAAATTTGGCAAACAAGTACACGTAAAACAGAAACTTGTTTTTTGAGGATGAAACAATGTGTAACGTGTTAATAAGTGGCAGAGGTGTTACGAGGAACAGCAAACTGCAAGGCAACGTTGACCAAACTCCTGACTGTAAGTAATGGCTGCACATGTCCACCAGCCATAGAAACATTGTGCCTGGAGGGAACAGCACCATATGTTCTGCCAAAA